TGATCAGTGAGTGCCAACGAACACCACCTGGCCCTCGACAGTCACGCTGATGTTGGTGCCAACAGTGCCACCTAGCCCTCGACGATCACCATGATCCAGTGAGTGCCAACGGTTACCTGGCCCTCGACAGTCACCACCAGTCAGTGAGTGCCAACAGTGCCACCTAGCCCTCGACAGTCACCATGATCAGTGAGTGCCAACAGTGCCACTAGCCCTCGACACTTTCCGCTGATCAGTGAGTTATAACAGTGCACCACCTGGTATGACACTCACCGCAGTCAGTGAAGAGTGCCAACAGTGCCACCTGGCCCCTCGACGGTCACCATGATCAGTGAGTGCCAACAGTGCCTGGCCTCGACACTCACCATGATCGAAGTGAGTGCCAACGGTGCCACCTGGCCTCGACGGTCACCGCCCAGTCAGTGAGGTGCCAACGGTGCCACCTGGCCCGCCGGTACTCTGCCGCGGTCAGTGAGTGCCAACAGTACCTGGCCTCGACGCTCCACCATGATCGAGTGAGGTACCAGCAATTACCACCTGGCCCTCGACACTCCCACCGCCCAGTCGGTGAGGTGCCAGCAGTGCCACCTGGCCCTCGACACTCACCGCCAGTCAGTGAGTGCCAGCAGTGCTACCTGGCCCTCGACAGTCACCACTTGATCAGTGAGGTGCCAACGGTGCCACCTGGCCTCGACGATCACCGCAGTCGGTGAGTGCCAACAATTATACCTGTGCCGGCACTCACCATGATCAGTAGTGCCAACAGTGCCACCCAGGCCGCGACGATCACCATGATCAGTGAGTGCCAGCAGTGCCACTAGCCTCGACGGTCACCACTTGATCGGTGAGTGCCAGCAATTGCTACCTGGCCTCGACGGTCACCGCCTGATCAGTGAGTGCCAACGGTACTACCCTGGCCCCTCGACAGTCACCGCGGTCCAGTGAGTGCAACGGTACTACCTGGCCTCGGCTGGAGTCACCATGATCAGTGAGTGCCCTTGGTGCCACCTGGCCCTCGAGCAGTCACCGCCAGTCGGTGAGTGCCAGCAGGTGCCACCTGGCCTCGACAGTCACCATGATCAGTGAGTGCCAACAGTGCCACCTAGCCCTCGACGGTCACCGCCCAGTCAGTGAGTGCCAACTGTGCCACCTGGCCCCTCGACACTCACCATGATCAGTGAGTGCCAACAGTGCCACCTGGCCCTCGACTGCCATGATCAGTGAGTGCCAACCAGTGCCACCTGGCCCTCGACACTCACCGCGGTCGGTGAGTGCCAACGGTGCCACCTGGCCCTCGACACTCCCTGCGGTCGGTGAGTGCCAACAGTGCCACCTGGCCTCGACACTCACCATGATCGGTGAGTGCAGCAGTGCACTGGCCCTCGACGCTCACATGATCCGGTGAGGTGCCAGCAGTGCCACCTGGCCCCTCGACAGTCACCATGATCGGTGAGTGCCAACAATTGCCACTGGCCTCGACACTCCTGCGCTGATCAGTGAGTGCCAACAATGCCACCTGGCCCTCGACACTCACCATGATCAGAGTGTTGAGTGCTGACAGTGCCACCCCAGCCCTCGACAGTCACCATGATCAAGTGATTGCCCAGCGAAAGTGCCACCTGGCCCTCGAAACTCACATGATCAGTGAGTGCTGCTGGTACCCTGGCCCTCGACACTTTCACCGCCAGTCAGTAGTGCCAGCAGTCTACCTGGCCCTCGACAGTCACCATGATCGGTGAGTGCCAACAGTGCCCACCTGGCCTTGACACTCACCATGATCAGTGGTGCCAGGTGCCCACCTGGCCCTTGAGCACTCACCATGATCCAGTGAGTGCCAACAGCCCACCTGGCCCGCCCGGCACTCCACCGCGGTCAGTGAGTGCCAAGCAGTGCCACCTGGCCCTCGACACTCACCATAGTCAGTGAAGGTGCCAACAGTGCCACCTGGCCCCTCGACAGTCACCATGATCAGTGAGTGCCAGCAAATTGCCCACCTGGCCCTCGACACTCACCATGATCAGTGAGTGCCAGCAGTACTTACCTGGCCTCGACAGTCACCATGATCGGTGGTACCCAGCAATTGCCACCTGGCCGCCAGCACTCACCATGATCAGTGAGTGCCAACGGTACCTGGCCACGACAGTCACCATGATCGGTGAGAATTGCCAGCAGTGCCACCTGGCCTCGACGGTCACCGCGTCAGTGAGTTACCAGCAGTACCCACCTGGCCCTAGACACTCACCATGATCAGTGAGAGTGCCAACAGTGCCACCTGGCCCTCGACACTCCACCATGATCAGTGAGTGCCAGCAGTGCCACCTGGCCTCGACAGTCACCGCAGTCGGTGAGTGCCAACAGCGGTACTTGCCTGGCCCTCGACACTCCTGCGCGGTCAGTGGTGCCAGCAGTGCCACCCTGGCCTCGACAGTCTGTGATCAGTGAGGTGCCAGCTTGGTGCCACCTGACCTCGACACTCACCGCAGTCAGTGAGGTGCCAACAGTGCTACCTGGCCCTCGACAGTCACCGCAGTCAGTGAGTGCCAGCAGGTGCCTCCTGGCCTCGACAGTCACCATGATCAGTGAGTGCCAACGGTGCCACCTAGCCCTCGACACTCACCGCATGATCACTGAGTGCCGCTGCAATTGCCACCCTGGCCCACGACGGTCACCATGATCAGTGAGTGCCAACAGTTACTTACCCTGGCCTCGACAGTCACCATGATCAGTGAGTGCCAACAATTGCTTACCTGGCCCTCGACGATCACCATGATCGGTAGAGGTGCCAGTGCCACCTAGCCCTCGACACTCACATGATCAGTGAGGTGCCAGCAGTGCCACCTGGCCCTTGGCTCACCGCCGTCAGTGAGTGCCAGCAGTGCCTGGCCCTCGACACTCACCATGATCAGTGGGGTGCCAACGGAGTCTACCTAGCCCTCGGCACTCACCGCCCAGTCGTGAGTGCAACGGTCTACCTGGCCCGTGACACTCACCATGATCGGTGAGTGCCAGCAGTGCACCACCTAATACAGACGGTCACCGCGGTCAGTGAGAGTGCCAACGGTGCCACTGGCCCTCGGCACTCACCATGATCGGTGAGTGCCAACAGTGCCACCTAGCCCTCGACAGTCACCATGATCAGTGGTGCCCAACAGTGCTACCTGGCCGAGCCTCCTGCATGATCCAGTGATTACTTAACAGTGCCACCTGGCCCTAGACACTCACCACTTGATCAGTGAGGTGCCAACAATTGCCACCTAGCCTCGGCAGTCTCATGATCAGTGAGTGCCAACAGTGCCACCTGGCCCTCGACACTCACCGCGGTCAGTGAGGTGCCAACAGTGCCACCTAGCCCTCGACAGTCACCATGATCAGTAGGTGCCAGCAGGTACCTAGCCCTCGACACTCACCACTGATGATGAGGTGTAGTCTCACCCTGGCCCCTCGACAGTCACCATGATCCAGTGAGGTGCCAACAGTGCCACCTGGCCCTCGACAGTCACCATGATCGGTAGAATTACTTGGCACGGTGCCACCTGGCCTCGACAGTCACCATGATCGTAGTGCCAACAGTGCCACCTAGCCCCTCGACACTCACCACTTGATCGTGAGTGCCAGCAATTACCACCTGGCCCTCGACCTCACGCCGTCAGTGAGGTGCCAACAATGCCACCTGGCCCTTGACACTCGCCCAGTCGAAGTGAGTGCCAACGGTACCACCTGGCCCTCGACACTTTCACCATGATCTGTGAGTGCCAGCAATGCTACCCTAGCCTCGACACTCACCGCGTCAGTGGGCGCAACAGTGCCACCTGGCCCCTCGACAGTCACCATGATCAGTGAGTGCCAACGGTGCCACCAGGCCTCGACAGTCACCGCAGTCGGTGAGTGCCAACGTACCACCCCTGGCCCTCGACAGTCACCATGATCGGTGGTTTAAGCAGTACCTGGCCTCGACAGTCACCATGATCAGTGAGTGTAACGGTGCCCACCAGGCCCTCGGCAGTCACCATGATCAGTGAGGTGCCAACAGTGCCACCTGGCCTCATTGATCCTGCACACTGATCGGTAGTGCCAACGGGTGCCACCAGGCCTCGACAGTCACCATGATCAGTGAGTGCCAACAGTACCACCTGGCCCTCGACAGTCACCATGATCGGTAGGTGCCAACGGTGCCACCAGGCCTCGACAGTCACCATGAGTCAGTGAGTTACAACGGTGCCACCAGGCCCTCGACAGTCACTACTTGATCCAGTGAGTGCCAACAGTGCCACCTGGCCCTCGACAGTCACCATGATCGGTGAGTGCCAGCACCGATGCCACCAGGCCCTCGACAGTCGCCATGATCCGGTGAGAGTGCCAACGGTGCCACCCCTGGCCCTCTGACAGTCACCATGATCAGTGAGTTGCCAGCAGTGCTACTGGCCCTCGGCAGTCACCATGATCATGGTGAGGTGCCAGCGGTGCCACCTGGCCCTCGACGCCACCATGATCGTGAGTGCCAACAGTCACCACCGGCCCTCGACGGTCACCATGATCGGTGAGTGCCCAGCAGTATACCCCCTGGCGCATCGACACTCACCATGATCGGTGAGTGCCAGCAGTGCCCACCTGGCTCGGCACTCCACCGCCTGATCAGTGAGGTGCGCGGTGGTCTCACCACCCAGGCTCGACAGTCACCATGATCGGTGAGTGCCAACGGTGCCACCTGGCCCTTGACGGTCACCGCAGTCAGTGAGAGTGCCAGCAATGCCACCTGGCCCTTGACGGTCACCATGATCAGTGGTACCCAACGGTGCCACCAGGCCCTCGACGATCACCATGATCAGTGAGTGCCAACAGGTACCACCTGGCCCTTGACACTCACCATGATCGGTGATGCCAGCTGGTACGCAGGCCCTTGACGATCACCATGATCCAGTGAGTGCCAGCAGGTGCCACCTGGCCCTCGACACTTTCACCATGATCGGTGAGTGCCAACGGTGCCACCGGGCCCTGGGTACTCACCGCCCAGTCAGTGAGTTGCCAACAGTGCCAACAGTGCCACCTGGCCTAGACACTCTATGATCAGTGAGTGCCAACAGTGCCACCTGGCCTCGACACTCTCACCATGATCAGTGAGTGCCAACGGTATACCTGGCCTCGACACTCACCATGATCCAGTGAAGAGTGCCAGCAGTGCCACCTGGCCTCGACAGTCACCATGATCAATGAGTGCCAACGGAACACCTAGCCCTCGACAGTCCTGCCCTTGATCCAGTGAGTGCCAACAGTGCCACCTGGCTGTGACACTCACGCAGTCAGTGAGTGCCAACAGTGCCCTGGCCCTCGACACTCGCCATGATCAGTGAGTGCCAGCAATTGCCAACAGTGCCGCCTGGCCCTCGACACTCACCATGATCAGTGAGTGCCAGCGGTACCACTGGCCCTCGACACTCCACATGATCAGTGAGTGCCAGCAGTGCCACCTGGCCCTCGACACTTTCACCATGATCAGTGAATGTAACAGTGCCACCTGGCCTCGACACTCACCGCGGTCAGTGAGAACCTTGGCAGTGCCACCTGGCCCTCGACGGTCACCATGATCAGTGAGTGCCAACTTAGGCGCACAGGCCCTCGGCACTCACCGCGGTCAGTGAGTGCCAGCAATTATATAGTACCACCTGGCCCTCGACACTCACGTAATCACGACAGCATGAGGGTCCACCAGCAGGTGAGCGTGACCCTTTGCCGTCACCACCTGCACCACCTGGCGGGTCGTGTTGGCTGGTCAGGTCGTCGTCGCCGTCAGGGGTCGTTGCTACACACTCAATCAGAGTCGTTCACCAGATCTGATGAATCACCTTACTCTGACGACCCAGGACTGGCTATGAAAAACAGCAGCAACAACAGCAACAGTTACTTACCAGTTACCCAATGATTAATACAACAACAACAACCAACAGTGCCAACAGTGCCACCTAGCCCTCGACACTCACCTTAATCTCACGGCTCAGCATGAGGTCCACCAGCTTGGTGAAGGCGTGACCCAGCGCCGTCACCACCTGCACCACCTGGCGGGTCGTGTTGTGGTCGAGGTCGTCGTCGCCGTCGGGGTCGTTGCTACACACCTCCGTCAGTCGTTCACAGATCTGATGAATCACCTTACTCTGACGACCCAGGGACGACTGTAAACAACAACAACAACAACAACAGTTACTACCAGTTATAATGATTAATACAACAACAACAACAACAACAACAACAACAGTTACTACTAATTATATAATATATGAAGGTCAGGGGACTCACCTGGGGCTGGAGGGAGTTATCAGGGGACTCACCTGGGGCTGGAGGTAGTTATTAGGGGACTCACCTGGGGCTGGAGGTAGTTATCAGGGGACTCACCTGGGGCTGGATTTAGTTATCAGTGGACTCACCTGGGGCTGGAGGTAGTTATTGTGGGACTCATCACAGGGCTGGAGGTAGTTATCAGGGGACTCACCTGGGGCTGGATTTAGTTATCAGTGGACTCACCTGGGGCTGGAGGTAGTTATTAGGGGACTCACCTAGGGCTGGAGGTAGTTATTAGGGGACTCACCTGGGGCTGGAGGTAGTTATCAGGGGACTCACCTGGGGCTGGAGGTAGTTATCAGGGGACTCACCTAGGGCTGAGGTAGTTATCAGGAGGAGGACTCACCTGGGGCTGGAGGTAGTTATCAGGAGGGACTCACCACCGGCTGGAGAGGGGATTATCAGAGGGACTTATCTGGGGCTGGAGGTAGTTATCAGGAGACTCACCTGGGGCTGGAGGTAGTTATCAGGGGACTCACCTGGGGCTGGAGGGAGTTATCAGGGGACTCACCTGGGGCTGGAGGTAGTTATCAGGGGACTCACCTGGGGCTGGAGGGAGTTATCAGGGGACTCACCTGGGGCTGGAGGAGGTATTAGTTATCAGGGGGACTCACCTGGGGCTTGCAGGTAGTTATCAGGGGACTCACCTGGGGCTGCAGGTAGTTATCAGGGACTCTGGGGCTGGAGGTAGTTATCAGGGGACTCACCTGGGCTGCAGGTAGTTATCAGGGGACTCACCTGGGGCTGGAGGTAGTTATCAGGGGACTCACCTGGGGCTGCAGGTAGTTATCAGGACTCACCTGTAGGGCTGGAGGTAGTTATCAGGGGACTCACCTGGGGCTGGAGAGAGTAGTTATCCAGGGGACTCACCTGGGGCTGGAGGTATTGAGATTATCCAGGGGACTCACCTGGGGCTGGAGGTAGTTATCAGGGGACTCACCTGGGGCTGGAGGTAGTTATCAGGGGACTCACCTGGGGCTGGAGGTAGTTATCAGGGGACTCACCTGGGGCTGGAGGTCGGGGTCAGCGGAGGTCCACTGGGTGGTATAGTCTCTGAGGAAGTTGTTGATGTGGCCCACAAGAGACCCGGCCAGGGCCGGCACCTGACGCAGCTCCAACCACTCCAGCCGCCTGAAACACAACAACCAGGTGCTGGTATAGTGGTGCTGTAACACCAGGTATAGTGGTGCTGTAACACCAGGTATAGTGGTGCTGTAACACCAGGTATAGTGGTGCTGTAACACCAGGTATAGTGGTGCTGTAACACCAGGTATAGTGGTGCTGTAACACCAGGTATAGTGGTGCTGTAACACCAGGTACAGTGGTGCTGTAACACCATGTGTAGTGGTGCTGTAACACCAGGTATAGTGGTGCTGTAACACCAGGTATGGTATTTAACTGTTAAGTCAGTCAGTAAGAGAGGTAGACCAGTCAGTAACTGGTAAGACAAGAGACACTCACTGGCACAGTCTGGCGAACTCGGTGGAGACGGCGTGAGCCCTTCGCTGGATGGCCCTGACGGCGTGGCGGGTGGAGGAGGAGGTGCTGGTGGAGGTAGCGGGGCGGCGGCCACACTCTCCCGGCAGAGACTTGGACTGAAGGGTATTCATACACTCAGACTCATACAAGACACTCAACTCCTTCAGCCACTGCCCCACCGACCCGTTCCTGGGGGAGAGACACAAATAAACAACAGTTAATTAGGTTACATTATTAAAGACATTGTTTATATTCAAAGGATTCACAAAACACATAAGTAACTCGTAATACATCCACATACAGGTTCCACTGCATTCAATTCTGCTTTCATTTCCTTCACAAGAACAAATTACTATCATACCTACCTGTACCTAATGTCTCACTGCCTCTACAAGCACAGATCGTCATAGCTGCTTGTACATTATACCTTCACTGCCTTAACAAGCACAGTTAACTCTCACAGCTCCTCCGTGTGGGTGTTGGTGGTGCCAGAGAGCTAACTATGACATGAGACCACCGACGGAGTGCCATTTAGTACTCCTAGATAGTGGCACTGTATATGGCACTGTCTCTCTGGGAGTGGTAAATGTACTCTCTCTCTCTCTCTCTCTCTCTCTCTCTCTCTCTCCTAGGATCAGTCATTAACTTAACCGAATTTCCACCTTTTCTGACGTGGGTGATGGATGATGTTTTTCACACGATGAGGGAGTTTTTTTCAGTTCAATTTCCGCCCTTTCTGACCTGACTGATCGGTACTTTTTTTTTTTAAGTGTGGTTTTAGGGGTCATGTTACTACTTTAAAATTGACAAAGGACTGTTGTTGGAAAGTGTGTGTGTGTGTGTGTCTGTGTGTGTGTGTATGTGTGTGTGTGCTCTATGTAAACCCTTGCACGCCCACAACACCTCACCTTCAGGAGTACTAGGTGGGTGGCCAGACACACACACACACACACATACACACACACCTCACTGCTCCACATCACCTGCCATTTACCAAACCAAATTAGAGTACAGACTAAGGAAACTATTCTCTATTTAATTCCTAGGTGATAAATTAATACAGGTAATTACTAATGAATCACAATTAATTCCTAAGTTATCTTTTTTTGTTGTGTTTCTTCACCTGTGTTCGGAAATTCATCGTTCGAAGCCTTACGAATCACAACCCTGGATCGTTTCAGTTTTTCGGTCAGTTGTTTGTTGACATCCGTGGTGTTCATAGCTAAATCTGTCAGTGTGGTTATCATTCCTGCGTCTGTGATTATTATTCTTGCGTCAGGTATTACCATTCCTGCGTCAGTGATTATCATTCCTGCGTCAGTGATTATCATTCCTGCGTCAGTGATTATTATTCTTGCGTCAGGTATTACCATTCCTGCGTCAGTGATTATCATTCCTGCGTCAGTGATTATCGTTCTTGCGTCAGGTATTATCATTCCTCTGCCAGTGACTATCACACCTGTGCCTTATTAACAACACCTGAGGGACATTTTGCTTACCTGAAACTAATAACAAAGCAACAAACACGTATCACTAAGGTGGGGTGACGGATAAACCAACACACACCCTCTTACCATACAGGAATAAACAAGAAAATCAATGTTGAATCACCAGCTGCAATTCCAAGCAACATTGATTCTAGTGATTGTTAAATGATGATGAAGTTATGGTGAGTTATGGTGCCAAGGACTCTTCCCCCCCCGCCCCCCGTGCAAGATGGCCCTCACTTCACTTTAAACTGTGAGTAACCTTGATATACAGTATATTTCGTAAGCACACTTCGTTATAAGATATTCGTTTACTATATAGAACCTGTTTTAGCTTGAGATAGTTCGTTATAAGAGAGGTTTTTACCCATGTGTGTATATAGTGTAGATGTTTATATAATAATATATTAAATGGTGAAGGTCAAAATTATAACAATATAGTCACTGGTGTATATGAGAACGGAGGGAGAATATATGGTAAGAGACACAAGGTCGAGTCTCCATAAATATCAACAAGATTAACAGCTTTATGGCCACGATAAATAAACCCCCCCCCTCCCCCCTCCACCCGCCTACACCTCTCATGTCTTTAGAATGAAAATATTTGTCTTATGATGAAATCCGTTCAAAAATACACTAAAAAAAATAATATATAATCACTAAAGCAATATAGTTTTAAGGAACGAATTCAATAGACCATAATTAATGAGTCTAGGAATAATATATATGTATCCGGATTCAGCGCGTAAACAAATGGCGAACGAAAACAAAGACTCATCACTCCCACAACACAACGATAGCGTCAACCCGCATCAACACGCAGTTAAATTTCACTGGCTACGCTAACTGTCTCATCTATGAACTTACTAAATCATGTTAATTAAGGATGACTTCAGGTTGAGACAGAGACAATCAACTGAAAATAAAGAGACAGACAGAAAGAGACAGAGATATAAACTTAAGGACGAGAGAAGGAAAACATACAACATTAAATGAGTTGACTTGATGTGTTAACTGTGGCGGATATAAATGAGCGAAAATCATGGGGTGTCTAACAGTGATATAGAGAGAAAGAGAGAAAGAGAGAAAAAGAGTGAGAAATAAATAAAGAGAAGGGAGAGATAGAGAGAGAGACAGAGAGAGATGATCTAGTACTGAAAGGAAGCAATCATTATCTATGCTAACTGTTCTGAATAAGTATTTCCTCTGTTAAAGCAATTAAGTCATTCTTCAGTAGAGAGAGAGAGAGAGAGAGAGAGAGAGAGAGAGAGAGAGAGAGAGAGAGAAATAATGCTTAAACGAGAACCACTACAAGCAAAAGCATTTAACAAAGGAAGGAAGTTGTTGATTAAGGCAATAAAACACGTGCTTGTTGACACACTTACATCACCTGTGTTTATCAATTAATGTTAAAGTAGGTTAAGGTAGACACAGGTGTTTATGACGGATGCTTTTTGTGGTTTTCGGTGTTTACGAGGTTACGTATGACTGAGTTACCCCTCGGTGTTTGTTTTTCAGTTGATTTCGCTAATTTTCGGGAGGTTTTTGCTTCCTGGTTCGTTGATTTTCGTTATTTTTGGTCGTTTTCGTTATTTTTCGTTATGTTTCGGTAGTTTTTGTTATCTTTCGTTGATTTTCGGTAATTTTCGTTATTTTTCGGTGGTATTGGGTAATTTTCCGTGATTTTTCGTTCGTTTTCTCTAGTTTTCGTTATTTTTGGTGGTTTTCCTTATTTATTCGATTTTTTGGGGGGGTTTTCGTTAATTTTCATTATTTTTCGTTATTTTGCAATATTTTTCGTTATTTTTCTCCAGTTTTCAATAATTATCGGTGGTTTTCAGTAGTTTTAGTAAATATTCAAGTTTAGGTTAGGTTAGGTTAGGTTTAGCAAGCACTTTAAGCTAATTGTCTTAGGGAGGTAGTGAGTGACAGGGTGGAGGTGGGTGGAATAGGGTGGAGAAGTGGGTGGGGTGAGTGAGTATGGAGGGAGAAGGTGGAGGAGAAGGCGGGTGGAGAAGACTAGTAGTGAAGATGGGTGGAAGAGAGTCTGGTGGGGGAAGGATGTGGGTGGGTAGCGAAGGTGGGTGGGACAGGAAATGGGTGGGATTGGTGGGTAGTGGAGACGAGAGGGTGGGGAGAGATGGGTGGAGGAGGAAGAGGGAAGTGGAGGAGGCTATGGTGGAGACCTAGTAGTAGTGGTGGTGGTGGTGGTGGTGGTGGTGGTGGTGGTGGTGGTTTTACTACTACCACCACCACTACCAACCAGCCACCACCACTACCAACCAGCCACCACCACTACCAACCAGCCACCACCATCTTACTAGCACAACCAACATTCTACACCACCATCACCATAACCACCATCTCAGCAGCGACACAATACACACACCTGCCACCATTTCCTCCCCCCGTACACACACACACCTGAGAAACACCTGTGCTAATTGCCATCCTACCGAAAGGAATGCGCGCTATGCAGTACAGTAGGATGTTGCAGAGTGATTTGGCAACACTAGTCAGACGTCCTGGGTTAGGGCGCCCCGGGCTAAGACGTCCGTCCATCTGGGAGTACGTCAGGCGCAAGGATCCGACCACCGTGGCTTAAGTCCTGTATTAACCCTAGAGCCTTAAGCCTTGGATTAATCATAGCAGAGACAAATCCTTCTTCGGTAGACCTGGATAATCTCTCTCTCTCTCTCTCTCTCTCTCTCTCTCTCAAGGTAATTTGGTGATGCTAATTAAACGTCGTGGACAGGTAACACAGGTAATGAGCAAAGGCTAATTAATTAATGCCAGGTAAACAACTTTCATCTTCACCTTCTCCTGGCACCTCCAACACCCCCTCTCACCCCCCTCACCCCTCTCATGGCACCCCCCTAAACCCTCTCACCCCCCTCCTTGTACCTCCAACCCACTCTCATCCCACTCCTGACACCTCCAACCCCCTCTCACCCTCCTAGACTGACCTACCATGACCTAGGTACATCAGTAAGAGCTAGAGAAGAGGTCATTAATCATTTCCTCCTCGTGATTGGTCAGGGGGAGGGGGAGGGGGAGGGGTAGGGGGAGGGGGAAGGGGGGTCAGAGGGGGTCAGGGCGAAAGGTCAAATCAATCCTCCAGAGCAGTGGTTCTCAACCTTGTTTGCCCGATGCACCCCTTTCACCATATGTCAGAATGTCATTCCCCCTCCTTTCCAAGATTGTCTGCCTCAAAAAGTGCATTCCAAATAATATGCATATAATACTGAAAACCTTTATTTTTTCCATATTAGTGCATATACGTTTACAATTTTACATGGATTATTTTTATAGTGGAGTTTTACAAATTAAATGCCAATTGAAAATGTTGATGGATTTATAAAACTTGGATAAAAGTAAAATAGTTTTTTTTTTTTTTATAATGAATTACTTAACAGACCAAACTGAAGCATAATGCAATAAACAAAAAGTTCAATAGAATACCAGGATATTGTAAATTTGTAATTAATTTTATTCAGATGAAGATTACAGTCAATGAGAAACCTGTGATTGTTTTTTCTTCGCCAATTCTGGGATACGCGGAGGAGTGCTTGAAAGGGCACAACGCAGGTCATTTTCTACCTCTAATCTACTACGTTGCTTCGTTTTAATTTGCAACAGAGTTGAAAAGCCTGACTCACAAAGATATGTCGACACAAACGGAAGCAATGCACGGATAGCTCT